ACTATTAAATACAAAGATATATGGTAGTTAGTATTATGACCAATAGAAAATGGAGGGACAGTTTCATTAAATTAGTGTAGGATGGTGGTACTAATAGGGATGTATAGATATATAATCCTAGATATATAAATATACATGTACAGAGGATTTAGATATGCATATCATTTTATTTAATTGCATTAATTTTATTATTATTAATAGAATTAATTTGTCAGTTATAATATAGCTCACATTTACATAAGAGCAATATTTTTTAAAAGAGTAATTAAATATTTTAGTACATAATTATTACTATTTTATTTTCATTTGTATATAATGGCATTCCATAACACCTTACAGCACGGGGGTCAAACTGGTGGCCCCTCCAGCTGTTGCCAAACTACAAGTCCCATGAGGCATTGGAAGGCTGGCAGCTACAAGTACGACTCCCAAAGACAGAAGCATGATGGGACTTGTTTTGCAACAGCTGGACGGCTGCCAGTTTGACATCCCCGCCTTACCAGTTATGTGCATGGTATGAATTTATTAATGATGGATATACATTAAAGACCAGTTATATGTATAGAGTGCACATCGGCATCAGTAGTTTCCAATTACACCCCGGTATACACCGGGGTGTAGTTAAATAAGTACCAGTTTAGTAGATAGGAGTATGGTACTATTAAATTATAGCAGGCATTCTTACCCAAGGAAAATGGCACATTCAGATGTGGGGGAGATGTGGACTACAATAAAATGGCACCAATGTATCCCTATATGTATGAAGAGCAAGTTGACATCCAAAAGAATCCCCCTGAGGAAGCCTCGTGACCCTGCGGCATAACGTGTAGGGGAGGGGCATATGACATCACAATGCTCTACACGTGAATAGGAGTGATCCATGCATGGAGTGAGGATACATGATTGAATACTCAAATGGAGGAGAGGAGTAATTGGAGAGATTTGGAGCAATTTATCCTTTTGGAGTATCATATTTGGTGCCTGAGGGACAGGCGCTTAGTGATTATACTATAATAGTAAGGTCAGTTGATCCCAGGCAAGAGGACATCCAGTAGAGGGTGACCACACTGGCATCAAGTATTGGAGCACTTAATGGTGATGACAGTAAGGGATACTAAGAAAAGATTAAGATTTGAAGATTGGACTGTTGTTTTCAGACTATAATTGTCTGCCCACTGTAATTATTTAAAGAAATGCAGAAGTTTTTTTAAGGATTATAATTTTCTATGATGAAATAAGATGGTTGTATGCACGTTGATTTATTTATACACAGTGGATATAAAAAGTCTACACACCCCTGTTAAAATGTCAGGTTTCTGTGATGTCAAAAAATGAGACAAGGAAATAAATTAAGAACTTTTTCCACCTTTAACCACCTCCCGTCCGGCCATTGCAAATAAATGGCCAGACGGTGGCAGTGCAGGGGCAGGTGGCCATTTATAAACGGCCTCTCCGCCCCCTGCTTGTGCACGCTTCCCTGGGAGCGCGGAGCACAGCGATCCGGTGCCCGCTGTGTCCTCCGTACACAGTGGAACACTTGATCGTCGTACGGGACATCTGTGAGAGTTCCTGATCATGCGATCACCGATTGGCCCAATCACATGCACAGTAGTAAGCAAGATGTCACTTGTGACATCATTGCTTACTACGTGTGTGAAATCTGTGAATGATCACAGAGGTCTTATGGTACAAGGCTATTCACAACAGCCTTGTACCATGTGACAAGCTGTGACCAATCACTGCTCACACAGTATTTCTCAATGGCTGCAAGAACGCAGCCAGAGAGGAGTAATGATTGCTTTTACAGCCTTTATGGGTGTAAAAGCAATCAGTGTAAAAAAAAAAAAAATCTTCATCACCCCCCCTTAAGTAGTACAGTGTCCCCATGGTGACACTGTACTGCTAGGGTGACAGTATGTAAAAAAAAAAAACAAATATAAAAATAATAATAAAAATGTAAAAAAAAAAAAATTTTAAAAATGTTTTGGTAATAAACTAATTGGGTTTTTTTTTTTTTTTTTTTTACTGAAAAGGTAACTCAATAAATTTTGGCAAAGATTTATGATGAAATATTATTTATTTGCAAAATTTTATAAGAGAAAAAACTTTTTTTCAAAATATTTGGACGTTTTCATTTATATAGCAAAAAAAAAATAAAAATACCTGTGGTGAATAAATACCACCAAAATAAAGCTTTATCTGTCTCAAAAAAAATGCTAAAAAATTCATATGGGTACAGTGTTGCATGACCGCGCAATTGTCATTCAAAATGTTATAGCACTGAAAGCTGAAAATTGGCCTGGACAGGAAAGGGGTAAAAGTGTCCGGACAGGAAGTGGTTAATGTAACCTATAAACTGTACAACTCAGTTAAACAACAAACTGAAATCTTTCAGGTGGAGGGGAGTCAAAATAAAAAACAAATATAATATGGTTACATAAGTGTGCACACCCTTAAACTAATACTGTGTTAAAGCACCTATTGATTTTCTTACAGCACTCAGTCTTTTTGGATATGAGTCTATCAGTATGGCACATCATGACTTGGCAATATTTGCCCACTCTTCCTTGCAAAAACACTCCAAATCTGTCAGATTGCGAGGGCATCTCCTGTGCACAACCCCTCTTCAGATCACCCCACAGATTTTCCATCGGATTCAGGTCTGGGCTTTGGCTGGGCCATTCCACAACTTTAATCTTCTTCTGGTGAAGCCATTCCTTTGTTGATTTGGATGTATGCTTTGGGTCCTTGTCATGCTGAAAGATGAAGTTCCTCTTCATGTTCAGGTTTCTAGCAGAAGCTTGAAGGTTTTGTGCCAATATTGACTGGTAATTGGAACGGTTCATAATTCCCTCTACCTTGACTAAGGCCCCAGTTCCAGCTGAAGAATAACATCCCCAAAGCATGATGCTGCCACCACCATGCTTCACTGTAGGTATGGTGTTCTTTTGGTGATGTGCAGTGTTGTTTTTAAGCCAAACATATCTTTTTGGAATTATGGCCAAAAGGTTCAACTTTGGTTTCATCAGACCAAAACACATTTTCCCACATGCTTTTGGGAGACTTCAGATGTGTTTTTGCAAAATTTAGCCGGGCTTGGATGTTTTTCTTTGGAAGAAAAAGCATCCATCTCGCCACTCTACCCCATAGCCCAGACATATGAAGAATACGGGAGATTGTTGTCACATGTACCACACAGCCAGTACTTGCCAGATATTCCTGCAGCTCCTTTAATATTGCTGTAGGCCTCTTGGCAGTTCTCACCAGTTTTCTTCTCGTCTTTTCATCAATTTTGGAGGGACGTCCAGTTCTTGGTAATGTCACTGTTGCACCATATTTTCTCCACTTGATGATGACTGTCTTCACTGTGTTCCATGGTATATCTAATGCCTTGGAAATTATTTTGCATCCTTCTCCTGATACCCTTTAACAATGAGATCCCTCTGATGCTTTGGAAGCTCTCTGCAGACCATGGCTTTTACTGTAGGACGGGACTAAGAAAATGTCAGGAAAGACCTACTAGAACAGCTGAACTTTATTTGGGGTTAATAAGAGGTACTTTAAATGATGGCAGGTGTGTACTGACTCCTATTTAACATGATTTTGAGTGTGATCATTTAATTCTGAACACAGCTACATCCCCAGTTATAAGAAGGTGTGGTTATGCAACCACATTTTATTTTTTTACATTTACTGCCCCCCCCCCCCCAAAGATTTCAGTTTGTTTTTCAATTGAGTTGTACAGTTTATAGGTTACATTAAAGGTGGAAAAAGTTCTGAAATGATTTATCTTTGACTCGTTTTCTTTACAACACAGAAACCTAACATTTTAACAGGGGTGTGTAAACTTTTTATATCCACTATATGTTTAGGTATATTAGAGCGACACAGTGTTATTGATCTATTATAGGCGCACGCAAATTTATGGGATTGTGTTTTGGATCAGCAGCTTATAATTTAATTGAGACTAGCACATATAGCAAAATTACACAAATATTTATTTTATACAGGGATTATAAATCTCCCTTACGTCCAAAATGAAAAACACATAAAACGTTTTCCTATAGTTCTACATTAAGGTTAGGTTCATACTGTAGTGGGCCTGTGCGTCGCGGTTCTGGTGAGCATGGCAGCAGACCAATTGTTTGAATGGGCTGCTGTGCTGCCGGAATTGCAGGGAAAAGGTTCATGCGCCATTTTTTTTAAATTGCAGCCTGCACGAGAACTGCAGTGCGGTTGCCAGTACTGCTGCAATTTCCAGTGCGCGCGGGTACCATGGCACCAGCACACATTCAGCTGGCTATTCTGTGCGGTTGCAGGAACAGGTGCGGTAATGCACCAGCAAAAACCTGCACAGATGTGAACCTAGCCTAAGGGTCCATTCAAACCAGCCACCTCTTTATAAAGTGGAGGCTGGTGTGCAGTCCGACACGTATCACCACTGTTTTGTTTTTTTTTTAAAATCAAACTTTATTAAAATGTCACACAGACATGATCAATTGGCTGCCTGTGATGTGAGGCATTGCCTTGTGCTGCGCTGATACAGAGTAGTGCATGCAGTGGTTTGATTCGGGCACACGAGAGAGAAGGCATTTTGCCTTGTCATGCGGTGGGACAGTGCTGGAATAACCAATCAGTGCAGTCTCACAGCATCTGGTGTGAATGAACCCTAAAATTCACCCGATACCGTGTTTGTAGCTGCTGATTTTTTACTATTTTTTTTTTAAACCTGTAGTTCCGTAGTTTACGGCGGGTGTGTTTACTTCATGAGGTGGACTGAGCCTTTAAGCACTAAAAGATGAATGATGTCAAAGGACACATTAGTAGCCCTTATCCAGCCTCTGTGGGAAGTGCACTTAGTGCTCGGATATAAGGAGACCCCCACCCCGGGAACCTGACCTCTGACCCTCATATATATATATATATATATATATATATATATATACACACACACTTGCTGTGAGGTGACCAGGTGCCCCCTCCCCCGCACAAACCCGTACCCCCATACAGCCACTCTTCCTCATCATCCCCGCCGCCTCCTCCTCCTCCTTCGGTCACGGTGCTCGTGGCGGCGGCAGCTGTAGAGGAGGTGGTTGAGGAAGGAACAGCTGCAGCAGCACCGTTGCCGCTCATTTCCGCCGACACCACCATCCGCTCCAACACTTCTCCGCCGGCAGACATCTTTCCTCCAGGGGCTGAGAGACACAGCTATCGCGAGACCTGGCCAGCCTGTGACGGCCAGTGCCTGGTATTACCTTCCAGCGATTGGAGGACCCGAATTGCATCACATGACAGAGTAGTTACAACGCAGGCAGCCATGTTAGCTGAGGGCAAAGGAAACGGTTCCCGGGGAGCTATATGCGCATTGAAGGCAAACAACGTGTTGCCTTTCCTTACATGCTGGGAATCAAAGTACAAACATAAACAATATTTAGACAGCACTGGGTATCATAAATCATGTGTTTTCAATACAATGCTTGTTTTCGTGTTGTTTTATTGCTTTGTTGTGTTTAATTGCAATAGGAATAGCTTCCTGTCCTAATACAATGGGCATTCTGGGCTCCAGACTTTTATTTTAGGTACTTATATTACGTTGTCAATTTACGCAGCGCTTTACATTTATATTGTACATTCACATCAGTCCCTAACCCTCAAGAGGCCTACAATCTAAGGTCCCTAACTTACATCCAGACTTCAATGGCTATTATTATTATTATACAGGATTTATATAGCACCAACAGTTTGCACAGTACTTTACAATATAAGGGAGACAGTACAATTACAATACATTTCAGTACAGAAGGAATAGGAGGGCCCTGCTCACGGAGCTTACAATCTAAAGGAAGCGGGAGGTGATACAAAAGGTGATAGTTGCGGGGGATGATCTGATGGAGGTGGCTCAAGTACAGTTCTTAGGTGGTGGTGGGGTAGGCTTCCCAGAATAAGTGAGTTTTCAAAGATCACCTAAAGGCAGACAGGGTGGGGGCTGACCGGACATACTGGGGTAGGGAGTTTCAGAAGATGAGAGAGGATCTGGAGAAGTCCTGGAGGCGAGCGTGGGAAGAGGTGACGAGGGCGCTAGAGAGCAAGATGTCTTGCCCATAAATGCTTGAATCCAGCTTTTCTCAGCGTTTTTCAGGCATTTTTTTAGTCTGTAAGAACTGGTCTCCTGCCTCTAGTGGTTTAAATTGGGTAAAAAAATGCCTGAAGCTTGAATGCACATGTAAACACTTGAAATACGCTTCTAAACCGCTTGTATACGTGCACAGAAACGCTAAATTAAAAACGCTTCAATAATGACTCTGCTCAGGTGGGAATGCAGCCTGAGGACCAACCTCACACTAACCCCAATGGTAAGTCACTAAGCTCCGCCCACTGCCACCTGGTCACCATGGCAACCGTGTGACATCACAGGGTTCCAGAGGCTTCACGCTTCAGTCTTTCACAGACCTTCCCACTAGCAGCAGCACTTGGTTTGGCTCTGCGACTTTGTGCTTCAGCTTGTGGATATTCTCTGTGCTACCATGGTGAGATTTGAAATCTACAGGATTTTCATGAAGAAGGAGGAGGAGGAGAGGAGAGAAGGACAGAAGGAGAAGATGAAGAATGAAGATGGTCAGAAATGCTCGGATAAACTCAGAGCTTTTCTCGGGATGAAGAAGTCCCAGACACCCAGAAAGTCACTACAGGAGACAACAGCGTCTCCTAAGAATGATGTGATCTCCATAAAGGTAGGTACCTTTGTTTACTGCACACCAGCCATATATTTAGACCAAAATGTATTCTGATACACGACTTTGCTAAAACAAAATCCCAATACAGGTAAATTAATTAGTTTACATGAAATTTATAGCATTTACAAATGGTGGTATATATACTGGAATTTTTTTTTTTATATACATAAATACCACTAATGGCGGCGATCAGCGACTCATAGTGGAACTGTGAGACTGCGGCGGGCATTCTGACACTGGGTGGGAACTGACTAACTGCCACTGACATCCCAATGACACTAATACAGTGATCAGTGCTAATAAAAAGCACTGACACTGTACTAATGACACTAGGCAGGAATGGGTTAACATCTGGGGCAATCAAAAGGTTAACTGTGTGTTGTTTTACATCATGTACTGTGTGTGTTTTAAAAGGGAAACATGCTGCTGTGTATTTCTCTGCTCTGCAGAGCTGTGCAGCCCCCTTTACTCTTAATACCCCTAATTACAATGTAGTGGAACCAATTGCCTTCAGATGTCACCTAATTAGTAAATAGTCCACCTGTGTGTAATTTAATCTCAGTATAAATACAGCTGTTCTGTGAAGCCCTTAGAGTTTTTTTTAGAGAACATTAGTGAACAAACAGCATCATGAAGGCCAAGGAACACACCAGACAGGTCAGGGATAAAGTTGCGGGGAGGTGTAAAGTAGGGTTAGGCTAAAAAAAAAAATCCCAGAAAGGACTGCCCCTCTGAGAAAAACAGTTCATGCTCAGATTGCTTTTCAGAGGCATTTGACAGGAGGTGAAGAGGCACTATGTTGCCTCTGTAGGGCGTTGCAGCGGTGGCCCTGTTCTCCGGGGGGTATACTTATTGCCAGGGCCACAGTATGTCTACGACCTATGCAGGTAAAAAAAGAGCAGTTGGGGGTGGTAAAAACTTGGCTGAAACACATGGCTTTTACTATCCCCTAACCTCACGTTTGAACGAGCACTTGGTTCAGAGCTGTATGCTGCAGGTAGGGCACCCTATTCATTTCAGAAGCCCCTTACCCTTTTTTTTTTTTTTTTTTAAGGTCATGCTGCACGGCATCTGACAATGCGCGGGAGTTCTATTAAGAATTAATGGCACCCCTTCGCATCTGCTTAGGAGCAGGTGTGTGTACGTGTCAAGAACGTGTTCGTGTTCCCGACATGCAGTAATGTGAACCAAGGCTTAGACTGGGGTGCCTCAAGACTAAATATACTTTTCAAGGATGCGCTGCTCCAGACAACAGGCTCCACGCAACTTACCCTCCTGAGGATTTACCCCCCTTCCTGACCAGGCCATTTTTTTGTGTTACGGCGCTGTGTTATTTTAACTGAAAATTGTGTGGTCATGCAATGCTGCATCCAAATGAAATTTACATCCTTTTTTCCCCACAAATGGAGCTTTCTTTTGGTGGTATTTGATCGCCTGTGCATTTTTAATGTTTTGCTCTATAAAAAAAAAAAGACCGACAATTTTGAGGAAAAAACATGTTTTGGAATTTTTGCTATTAAAATAGTCCAGTAAAAAAAATTTCAAAATCAAGTTTCGTCATAAATTTAGGCCAAAATGTATTCTGCTACATGTTATCTAAGAAAAAATCCCAAGTGTAAGTGTAAGTTAATTGGTTTACGTGAAAATTATAGAGTTTACAAATGGCGGTATAGATACTGGGATTTTTTTTTTCTACTAGCAATGGTGGCGATCAGCGACTTTTAGCGGGACTGCGGCGCACATTCTGACACTGGGGGGGAACTAATTTGGTGTCACCGACGCCCCAGTGACACCAATACAGTGATCAGTGCTAAAACTAAGCACTGACGCTGTACTAATGACACTGAGCAGGAAGGGGTTTACATGAGAGGTAATCAAAGGGTTAACTATATGTAGGGAGTGTTTTACTAGGGGGCAGGGGTGGGGCTTCACTTTAATAATAATACAGGATTTATATAGCGCCAACAGTTTGCTCAGCGCTTTACAATGTAAACTATATGTAGGGAGTGTTTTACTAGGGGGGGTGGGGCTTCACTTTAAGCACACTGATCAGCAATGTGTCTGAGCTGACAGGGAGGAAGTCTGTAAACAAAATAGTTTTCCTCCCCATCAGTGATGGTCGGTAATCACCGGGCGCTGGCGGGTACTTACCAGCCAGGACCCAGTGATTGACAGCCGCGGACACGAATGGCGGCGCGGATAGGACTCACGCGCCCCCTACCTGAAAATGCAAAATCACGTATATATACGTGATTTTGCACACCCGTGCCGCCCTGTAGCAGTATTTCTGCTATAGGGCGGTTGGGAAGCAGTTAATTAATGGCACCCCAGATTGCAAAATGCAGTGTGATTACAAGAATCAGATCTCATGGGTGTGAACAGCCATGCCATCCAATTCTGGTGCGGCAAAATGAAAAGGCTCTAATTGCACTGCAAAGAATTGCGTGTGATTTGAACAGGAATGTGGTGCGATTCCGGCCTGAATCACATGCGATTTCCCTTACTGCTATAATGTGAATCTACTCTTATAGTCTTGTGACTGTCACTTTTAAAGTGATTGTAAAGGCTGAAGGTTTTTTACCGTCATGCATTCTATGCAAAAAGGTAAACAAACCTGTGTGCTGCTCTCCCCACAGCACCCCCCATCCCCCACAGCTGTGTATTCAATAATACATCATGAACTACTTTGCATATATGCGGCTCTTCGGTGGGTGAGCTTTAACACTGAGCGGCTGCATACATACATGCCTATGTAAACACTTTGCTGTTTTGAGTGTGCTCCCAGGTACCAGAAAGCTCCCGATGGGGGAGCTTTCCGATCATGTGAACGCTGTGACTGCCAATCACAGCAGTCACATGATTGGAATGCCCTTTTCCGTCCCCCAGTATTTACAACCTCATAAAGGGCAAGGGAGGCAGCGGCAGGAAGGGGTTAAATGTATTTCTTTAACCGCTAGCCTACAGGGCACTTATACCCCCTTCCTGCCCAGGCCAATTTCCAGCTTTCAGCGCTGTCGCACTTTGAATGACAATTGCGCAGTTATACAAAACTGTACCCATATGAAATTTTTTATCATTTTTTTTGTGACAGATAGAACTTTCTTTTGGTGGGTATGTAATCACCTCTGGATTTTTTATTTTTTCTTAAACTAAAAAACCACTGAAAATTTTGGAAAAAAAAGTTTTTTCTTAGTTTTTATTATAAAATTTTGTAAATAAGTGATTTTTTCTCCTTCACTGATATGCGCTAATGAGGCTGCAGTGGTGGGCACTGATAGGCTGCACTGATGGACATTGATAGGTGGCACTGATGGGCACTGATGAGGAGGCAGATTCTGCTCTCTCTTGGCTCTCGTCCTACCTATCACAACGCTCCTTCAGTGTTACCTATAACGCTACCACCTCCCCCTCGCTCCCCCTCTCTGTTGGGGTCCCTCAAGGCTCCGT